TCGAATGTCGGTAAGTGCTAGGATGGCACTCTGACCTTTTACGGCTCAGATAAAGTGTGTAGACATATCCGTGTCATGCCTCCCATATTTGCTAGGCACCGTAGACTATGCCCTACCGATCATCATCCTGTCCGATCTCTGGTGTTTTTCTGGTTTAAATCTATATTTGTTATCTGCTGTGCGACTTTCTGAAAAAAGATATGGACTTTTTTCGTATCAATTTCCTGAGATCTAGGCAGTCAGAGTTGTTCTAGGCGAGACGATTTTCCTGAGTTTGATATAAATTTTTATCTTGTTACTATTCCAACGGTTTCAGCGCATCCTGTCATCCAAACTTTCGGAAGAGAGCGTACAGCATATACCGAAGGCAGATTGGAATCAGCGCTCCAAGACGCATTTGATATTGAAGAGTTCATATCGAAAGGCCATGGACACCAAGGCCCGTATGCACGTACATCCCCGCTGGGGAGGGGAGGGGATCTGAGAGGGGATGCATCATATCGCGCTACTCTAGGTATCTTTCTTCTTCATTTTCTATCTTGCTTATGAAGGTTCTCATACCCTAATACCTGCGCATAATTGATGCCAGGTTACTGGCATAACCGATTAGATTTTTACTATTTTGTGTGATCCCTGGGGATCCCCAGGGGATCCCCAAGGGATCAATTCTCGAATTCAGTGCCATTCATCTTCCTGAGAAGTCAATGGGAACGCCGCAAAATTGTACTGAGGATAAACTACGGCACTGCCAAGCATGTTTTCGACAGAAGAAATGGGATCTGAAGATTGTGAATTTTTCGATGATCCCTAGCTTTCGAGCCAGGGAATACCGAAGATTTCGATATCCTGAGATTTCACTTATTTCTACTAAAAACATAGCAGTGCCGTAGTATATCCACATTACAATTTTACAGCGTTTTTACTGAGTTTTCAGGAAGATAAATCACTTTGAAAATGAGAGGCGATCCCCTGGGGATCAGCAGGGGATCCCCAGGGGATCACACAAAATAGTGAAAATCTAAAGAATCACTCCAGTAACCTGGCATCAATTATGTGCAGGTGTTAGGGTATGAAAACCTTTATAAGCAAGATAGAGAAGGAAGAAGAAAGATACGTAGAGTGGCGAGATATGACGCATCCCCTCTCAGATCCCCTCCCCTCCCCAGCGGGGATGTACGTGCATACGGGCCCAAGTGTCCTTCCCTTATTAGTCAAAATGCGTATCTTGCGCACGGATAGCGGAAGCGACATTAGTGATGAATAGTCCTTTGACTCTGTTCACATGCCGTAAACACGAGAACTTTCGAAAGCTTTTGAGATTTCGAAGAAATAAAATAAAAAAGTGCAACAGGAATTCGGCAACGGTATCCAGCTAATATAAGTGTCATTATATATTTTGTTATATTTTCAGTTTTTACCGCAGCAAGTGAACTTTTTAATCAAGTTTTAGGGTACCATTCGATAGAGCACAGCAACTCTGCAAGATGGTTTCCGAACATTTACAGCTTGACCCACATATAGGTTGAAGCCAAAATCTGAAAAGTTTCAAAAGCCCGAGACATCTGTAACATATCGAATTTTCAATCAAAACTTTCTGTGGGTTGCTCACTTGTTCAAGCACATACTCTTCAAAATTGACGCCCAAGTGCATTTATTGAATTTTTTGATGGTTAGAAATCAAGGAAGGATGTGCACGAACTTTTGGTCCAACCTGACGGTAGTGTCGAGGGGTCAGGAAGATTCAAGAGAGAACTGCGTAGCAGAATAGAGTATTTTGCACACTAGAGCCAGAAATGACAAATTCCTCATTTCTGTCGTTAAGGACAATCCTTCGGCATATGTCCGACTCCTCCCGTTCAAAATTGTTTTTGAGAGTGAACACAGACGAAAAATTAATCAAGTCTTCTGCAGACTTTTTTAGCATGCGAAAACGTTCTCGACACCTGTTGCAAGATGCGGATCAACAGCAAATAGTGGAGCTCCTATCATCTTGATTGCACAATGCTTTATCGCAAATATTTTAGTTGTGCCAAATTTGAAAGAGATGTGTGTAGAAATAAGTTCGGTAATCACCTATTGATTACATCTATCTATACATCCCTGCAAAAACGCTGAACACCTAGCCAAACATCCTTCAAGAAATGCCCAACGCACCTTCAAAATATTATAATGAATGAGGAGTATGGGGATCTTGGCAGAAATTGATCTTTCCAAGAAGATCACAGAGAAATTTTAGGTTTGGATGGATGGTATGCTATGCATAAATGCATTATTTTTTTGCCAGTGAAGTCTTCGTTAGATATTGGGTTCCATAAATTCGTATCGTTTTCCTTCTAGTCCTTATTTCCCTAATAGGCAGTTGAATTACGCCAAGGTGAGCATATTAGAAAAAGCGAAGATCAACTTTCCCATAAAAGCTAATTAGTTTTTGCGAAAAGCTGATCCGCTCTAATCCCTCAACTTGCAAAGATGATTTTTTTAAGAGACAAAAAGAAGCATTATTGGCACGCGGCCGCCGCAGCTTTTAAGAGGGTGTGCCGCACCCCATTAACTATATCATAGACTAGATCTCCTAGTTTTCACAGGAGTGATTTGAGCCTGATTCGTTTTCTCTGCTTTGAGTAGTATTTGGTGAAAGCACAACGATCAAAACCGAAAAATGGGAAAAACGAGATTTTAGTTGGCTTCTAATTCCACAGTTTGGAGGTCTTCTAAAGCGGGATTCCTGTGGACAAAGAAGGAGTAGTGCTTTGTCTTGAGTGCAAAAACGTATAGGTAATTCACCTTTGAAGCTAAGTTAACCATGTTGGAATTTGACCATTTCACTTAGATAGCCTAGTATCTTGAATCTTCAGAATTCGCTCACACTTTGTCTACAGGGGTTATTTGACATGCTGATTATGGATAGGATACGAATATCATGTTATCACTATTATCAGATTACCCAATTACGACCCCCTCCCCTTTTGAGTCCTCAATACGACTCCCCAGGTGTGGCGTGCCGCACCCCAAGCTTGACCCTGGTCATAATTGTCCTGCAAGGCTTGAAAAGGGGGTACATACACTATCCAGTGTGCTCCTGAGATCCTGCTCTGGCAGAACATTTTCCTTTTCCATACCCATTACCTTTTCCATTTGATAGCAAATCATATGAAGAGCGCTTGCTCTAATTCTGCAGACGGCGGTGGTTAGACGACTATTTGGGACCAGACAAGTTGGTTTTTGAAGAAAAAGGAAATGAATTCATGACAGCAAAGTGGCAGAGGGTTGTGCGCAACAACTGAGCATGCAATTTTGATTGGATTTTGATGACCAGGGCTCGGCACAAGGTGGCTTCCCAAAATTGCAAAAAACGGAATCCCCTTTGATTTCACGATGAAAATACGATAATTGCAATAAGTTTTTAGAAGAGAAAATAAATGAAGAGGAAGAACAATACGAAACAAAAAAAGCATCAAACAAATGCGATGATGTTCGTATTCTCTGGATTGGCGGCATGATGTATCCAGCGGCAGCACTATGCGCCTGGAGCAGAATTGCCGCCGCCATTCAACATTTCCAAGGGGCTGTAAGTGAGCGGGGAGGAGGGGGTTTGAGGCGGTTTAGGAACCATTTTGTAGGGTTTGGGATGTAGATAAAATCTATTTAGGAAAAGTAGAAAAATTATGTGAAAGAGGAAAAAATTTGTGGCTTTTCTTTCCGAAGCCACCTCAGCTGGCTTCCGGGTGGCTTGAAAGGCACCACTCCGAAAAAGGTTGAGCACGCCTTCAATTTACATAATATATTCAAAATTTTTCATACTTAGTCCTAGCTCCCCGTTGCCCATTTACACATCAATTTTGATGTGATTTCATCTTTCCTGTAAACAAGCCCTCTGCTTGTTTGGGAGGGCCGGCGGCAGATCGAAACACTACGGTATTCTTTTCCGCAAAAATTATACCTCCTTTGCTTGTTTCCAGAAATCATATTCAGCTTGCTTGGTAAGCCACCTGTGCCGTACCCTTTTGATAATTTGTCATCTCGTCGGTTTATGAAAACGGTACGAAGCTATGGAACGACCTAATAATTAAAAACACTCGACTTACATTGTGAACCACAGCATTCTTGGCATTAGCATCACGTCCACGGCGGCGTCGAGGTGCGAACCTTCATCTTTCCTAGAGTGCCAGATCTCGATTTTTTTCAAACTTGCAATTATTTTATCTTTTCTTAGCTTGATAAGCAAATCATATCACTTTCCCGAAAGCTAGGATCTACTGCTTGGTCAAGATTGCAGAAGGCTCTATTTTTCGGTAGTAACATCCAATATCATGTTTTCGAAAAATAATCAAATTTTCTTTATTTTGTCATCGAAAACGAAAAGCAATATTAATTATTTTCAGCTAAGCGCTTCCGTCACAGGACTACATCAAATGTGAGTACTATGTATTCGTACATTTTTTTATGTGAAGGCCACGAAAAGGGCCGGGCAACGATTTCATCGCCTCGCGATTCTCTCGACAAGACAACTGTTACCAGCTCGTTCCATGCCAATAATATTGCATTTCGGTTGTGATAGATTTCTGACACGACTAATTGAGGTAACTATCACAACCGAAATGCAAGATGATCGGTATGCAATGAACTCGTAACAGTTGTCTTGTTGAGATTGGCGATGAAATCGCGTGATGTAACCGCCCATGTTACCGGACCCGGCCCCAAAGACAATTGTTGATGCCGTTCATCACCTTTTTTTCTTCCAGACGCTTTATCGAACAAATTGCTTTTTATATCGTCTTTCTGCTGTATTTATATTAAACATTTTTGCACAGAATTTTTACTATACTTATTGTACCATCACGAGCTTTGATGCTTCTACCCATACGTTATTTATCGCTAAATCCCTGTATAAGCAATATCAAGTTCCAGATAAGAATCCTTATAAGTTACAGTACCTATGTGCAACAAGCGCACAAGAAAAATACTGTTTTGAAGTATTCTCTAATAAAGTAACAAAGAAATTTGTTAAACCTTTTAATGTCTGAAAAATTAATAGTTTGAACTGCAAACTATCTCATTGCTCTGAATCCCTTCTTCCCTCCCATAGGGTAGTTAAACATAGGATATCCCTTTGGGTAAGGGTACGGCACGTGGAATTCCTCCCTGAATTTTGAGGATACTTGTGCGAGGAAGGCGACTAGAACCTGAAAGAGAGATGCCGAAGTTACTGTTAAGAGCTTGTGAAGAAAAAAAATTGAACATTGAATCACCACGATAGCTTTCCAAAACATCTTTGATGCTGCAACTCTTGTTAGAATTTTGCCTGAAATAATATTTATAATTACTGTCGATGGGGTCATGATAACGACAGAGAAAAGAACAAAATTTGATGAGAAATGCACCCAGAATGCGAACGCAAATTGAGACCAAATGTGCCAAACCGTTTTTATAAGGAAATCTTTGCTTATTTGATTTGGTATATTAAGAAAACGCAGGGCGTAATACGTGCGGCCAGATATTGCAGCAATTTGCCATTGTTATTCTTTCATGCAGATAAAGAATAGTGAATGGGGAGACTTAGAAAAAGCAGATCAACATTTTCAAAATGCTTTTTTGCTATTACAATCTATCTTACATAACTTTACATATTAAGGACGTACCGTGTATTTGTTCTTTCGCAATGGTCGCATGAAACCTTTTAATGTCATTTGTTGTATAATTGAATATAAAATAAGGCTGCCTTAGATGCTTACATTACATATGCGTCAAGCTTAAAGGGCTCACACACACAAAAGATCATAGTGTTCAAAAGTCTAATAAGGTTTGTATGCATGTACATCCTGGCCGAGGAGCAGAGGATGTAATTAGACGCTTTATATTTTGGCAAGATTCAAATTTTCCATTGCTTTTGTATATCGAGGCTTTACTTTCTTTAAAATTGAACGTATGAAGTCCGCTGTACAAGGCCACATTCTGATTCGGTATGACCCTTTGTAGAATCTCTAAGGTTTGCATTCCCCTTAAAGACCGTTCAACTTCCTACAAACACAATACATACGAAATGGAGATCTGAAAATCAAATCCGACATTGTTGAGCATACCTCTAATCAGACAAATAGAATTTAGAAGTTGATAGTAGCGATGGACACCTTCGCGAGCGACGGCTTATCGAGCTTTTCATTGTTCTGAAACTCCCTTTGCTTCCATTATGCTTAGCCCTAGAGTCTCATATCCGCAAAATTCTCTGCGATTTTTTTATTTAGTTAAAAGGGATTTCGCGAAAATCCATATTTTGGCAAAGTCATCGGTGAAAATCCGAGCAGCTGCTCTGTGATTCCACATTATCGCGAATCCCAGCTTGGAAGCCGATGTCGTCGCGAGTTGCTGCAAAACTGGCAACGCGCCTTCACTCATAATTCTTGATTCTTAACTTAGTAGAGGGAGAGAGAGTGAACTCTACTTTGGTATCGTGCTGGTTGTAAGTAGCAAATTCCTTTGCAGCCATTGAACTGGTTGCGTAACGAGTTCTCTTTTTTTGACTGCCGAAATTTTAGGTTGTAGGATAAAATCCATCTGTTCCACATTCTGTTTTTCTGGAAAACTCCGAAGGCTTTTCGAAACTCTGAATTTGCGACACGCTTAGGACATAGCAGGGCCTACCCATCAGCAAATCGAAGCCGCAAATGCACTAATGACCAATGTAGGCAGTTTTTCAAACAAACACAAACTTGCTCACGTAAACACTATTCGCATAAAACATCTATATACGCCTTTGCCGTATTTTTTTCTCCGTTAGAAATCAAGTAAACGGAAATTTTCGTGCATTTGCCAAAGTGTTGCTGTGCCGTCCCCACCTAAGTAGATGTATACTACAAATCTGTAGAAGTACAAACGTAACTTTTCAGCTCTCTACACGCTTTAGTTCTTGAGAAATTTGAATTTTAGCTTGGACCACATGACTAGCGAAAACTGCATTCGATATTTTTCGAGAACTAAAGCTTGTAGAGAGCTGGAAATTCACGTTTATACTTCTAAAAGTTTGTAGTATACAACTACGTATGTGGAAAACGGCACAGCACCACTTTGACAAACGCACGAAAATTTCCGTTTTCTTGATTTCTAACAGAAAAAAAATACGGCAAAGGCGTATATAGATGCCCCTCTGCTTACATGAGCAAGTTAGAATTTTTGTAGGATTCTTATGAACTGAGTTACGAGTTTTCTCAATTTTTCGGACAGTTGAATCTTTTTAGCTTTTGGCTCGAAACTCGTGGTAGATCAGAGTTGTTGCTAAAGCAAGACAGCCCTCTTGTAGAACTTGCTTTGCTCTATCGAACGGTACTTTGCAACCTAATTAGAAATGAGAAGTGTATGACTTATTGCGATTGGAATTCAAAACCTGCATTAATTTTGTTACAACCTAATAAATATCTTTCACTCGTTCATGCATATGCATTTCACATCAAACATTTATATGTATCTACCGTACTCCTGGAGAAATCGAGAAAACGAAAATTTTCATGATTATAATAAAGCGATGCTGGGTTCCCACAAAAGTAGTTGCATACTAAGAACCTTAAACTACAATCTCTCTACAAGTTTACCTTCCTCAATATCAAATTCAAGATTTCTTGATATGATGTTCCATGCTAAAAAGATTTCTGGGAAATTAGTGTTTGTAGGGCTGGAGATTTACGGTTATACTTCTGTAGTTTTTTGAGTTGTAATTTACTGTTCCGAAAATTCCAAAAATTCTGTTCTAATGTGCTTGTAGCGCGACTAACTTGCACATCTTATGCAAGCTTGCAATAAATTCCGATCTTTCGCGATGGAATCTTAGCAAAGAGAGGGAAAAGAAAGAATTTTGAGAACTCTCTCAATTTAAGGTCCGGTTTTCAAAATGAACTCACTTCTATCGAAATGAATACATGCATAAAGGGCATCGCCTCGCGATTCTAACAACAAGGCAACTGTTGCGAGTTCATGGAAGCTGATAATCCTTCATTTCGGATTTGATAGTTAGTCGCGATTGCGTGTTAGGCCTTGGACAGAGTTCATTCAATTTGATGGTCCCGAAATCGCCGCGACTTTCAATTTCCATTTCACACTCAAAAATTTAGCGCTGGAAAAGTATCACAACCGAAATGCAAGCTGATCGGCATGCAATGAACTCGTAACAGTTGTCTTGTAGCGATTGAATCAAGACGATCAGATCGCGTGAACTCTGCCCAAGGCCTTAGAAAGCTATCACAACCGAGATGCAAGATGAGTTACATGCAGTGAGCTTGTAGCAGTTGTTTTGTTGGATGAATCGCGAGGAGATGAAATTGCTAATGTTTGCCCGGCCCTTAAAAAACAAATAAAAGAAAATGCTTTCAAATGATCTAGAACTTTCTAAGCAAATGTTCTTCTGTTCGCAACAGCACTTCAACTCTCTTACAACCTAATGACTAAAACATTACATGCTTATGATACAGTTAAGATTGGCGCATGCGTAAGAAAGTCCCTTACTAGTTGCTTACAGTAACCTGAACCATCTACCTCCTCGTCATTTGGACTCCAATAAGAAACATTTCATCTCATTCGTCTGATATCCTTGGTGTGGACCTAATTTCGCACATTTTTACATCCCTGCTCTTTTGGTTCAATTTTAGAATGGGTTGTGTGTTCGTTGACCTAAGGGAATCGGTTAATTACTCGCGAGATTCAAACAGTGCTTGCTATCTCACCGTCATGTTGAACTCTTCTTATCCTTTCTCATGAAAAGCACGAAAATAATAATTTGTGTTCTAGCTCGCTATCGAGGAGTTCAAATGCCGAGAATATTAAAATTTGTGGGCTACAAAAATGCCTTGTGAACAAAATCATGGCAGTCAAGTGCCTGAGGACAGATATCAAGGACATCAATCATCTACTCTCCTCGTGCCGCCCTTTTCCGCTATGAATCTGCATTCATTCATTCATTCATTCATTGGAGCTGAGCTTGCGAGTGCACTCATTCTAGCTTTGAGCTTTTCCAGAACATTATTATCTCGTGCTGCTGCTTCTTGGTGCCTTCCGTACGAATTAAACTCTGCTAATGCTCGAAAGGTAACATCTAACAGCAATTACACAACAGATGGGATAATGCATGTAGATTTATTGAGTTGTTTCTGAACATGCAAGTTTCTGTGGCCAAATACCAATATTTTTCACAGGAACCTAAACCAATCTCAAGGAAAGCCCATTTTTCGCTTGCTCAGGAGACACCCTATTCAACCCTTGAGCTTCTGGAGAGATCCGATTCTTTTTCCACATCACTTTCGAAATGGAGAGCAAAAAACGCTCCATTTCACACGCAAATTTAGCAGATAATGATTCTTGTTGTCTTGTGGAACTCCAATTTTTAGGAGAAGGATCGGAGCACGTCAGCTTCCATCATTATCGGTAAGTACTTTTAAAGGCATGAACACTCCCTGAAATGTATACACACCTCACTACAAATCAAAATTGAGGACAAAATCGAAAATGCTGCGAACTTACGGAGTAACTCAATACCTTCTCAATGAGCAATTTTGAAAGAAACATAGCAGATTTCCTTCCGTTACTGTATCATCATACTCTATAATAAAGCGCAGGGGGGACCATCCGACGTCAACAACCGGCGAAGAATGTTTGCCCAGATCTCTGAGTTAATTCTTGCACTTTCGCCCGCTTCCATACTGTTTACCGTTACGACTCAACCTAAGTGCAACCTATGACGTCATCAATGGTATGATGTTTTGTGCCATCTTCGTGTTCCGTCTGCTTCCTTGATGTTTATCACGACGTCAAGCTAAATGCAACCCCAATTCCGTCGCCTACAACGCTGTTAGCGGTCGTTTATTTCAACCGCCTTACATTTTGCTTCATTCATTTGTGAAAATAAGCAAACGTCGGATAGCATCTTCAGGTCGGTGATAATACTTAACATTGATATCTGCATTACATCTCCTCAATTCTTTCTTAATCAGTGCACCACATCATCACTGTTTTTACCACTAAACGTATCTACATGCAAAAACAAATCTCAAAATTGAACCTTCCCTTAAAAATCAAGCAAAATCATATCACTCATTGTCCATTTTCCTATTGTGCACCATTCCATTTTTGTCTTATTACCAAACGTATCTCATTGAAAATTTTCCAATTTTACTCTGAGAAAACCCTTCCACAAGAATGAAGCAAAAGAAGCGAATGAAGCATGCTGAACATATCTTCACGTGAAAAATTCCTTAAACTCACTGTGAAAATCGAACCTATTTGAGAAAATAGTTAAACATCAATACTGTGCAAACTT